ATTAAGAAACCCAAGTATATATAAATATATATATATTATCTTATATATAAATGAATGACGGTGTGTAGATTAAACCTATGGGGAGAATATACGCTAATTTAAAAAGGGTTAAATTTGGTTTTTTTTATTCATCGGATTTTAGTACGGTTAGGTTAGGTTAGGATTTATAGGTAGGTGGAATTAAGTAAAAACGTCAAACTTGGTATAACTTTGGTATTTTTTGAGTTAATCATACACTTACATACAAACGGCACGGGGTCCGCGATCTACCGCAGGTAAATTACCTATCTGATAATGTACTGCTGCAATTCAGAATTTTTATTCCGGGCAACAGAAAAGTTAAGATAAATCTAGAACATCATACACCGAATATTAAATAACGCATTGAACAATGTTTGAGTCATATAGAGTTGGTACATTTAACGGGAAACGAAGTGCACGAGATCAGCTAGTAATTATATATAGTTAAAAAATAAAGATTTTAAAGTTATTTTTTGTTCTTATATTATTTGCTAATGGATTCAAAACTATATTATAATTTGTTTGTTATATTTTTTTTTAATATAATTTTCCTATAGACCATACGTTTAACATGGAAGATGACTTTATTTAAATTTATAATAAATATGTAAAGTCATGGCATACCATATAGGTTACCTACCTATATCTACACTGTATATCAGTTATCAAATTATCAATTTTTTTTTTTGATAATACATATTGGACCTACTTACTATTTTCATACTTTTTATCATTGTTTATTTTGGTAATCAGTGTAACTGCAATATTTAAACACATTTTAGCTCTACATACAGTTGATATATTTAAATTAGATTTAGAAAAAACAATTTTCTTTAGTTTGGCGACGGACGCTAGTGATCATAAATCAGAAAAAATATTTCCAATTATAATTCAATATTTTACAAAATTAGATGGTATAAAAAGTCAGTTAATAAAAATGAGTTCCCTTAAAAACGAAACTTCAGAAACAATTTCGCAATATTGTATTGATACATAATATAATTTGGAAATACATTTAAAAAAATGCATTGCATTTTGTGCGGATGACGCAAACACGATCTTCGGAGCAATTCATAGAAAAGGACAAAATAATATTTTTTTTGAACTAAAAGAAGCCATTCAAAATGAACTGGAAGGTGTTGGTTGCTCTGCTCACATATTGCACAATACTATTTCTACAGCTGCAAATACGTTTAGTATTGATGCTGAAATGATTATTTTTAAAATATTTGGATACTTTACTATTTACACTGTGAGAACAGAAAAATTAAAAGATTTCTGTAAATTTGTGGATATCAACTACAGAACTATTTTAAATCATTCCAAAACTCGGTGGGTATCATTACTAATAGCAGTGGAAAGAACCTTATCTATGTGGCCTGCGCTAGAATCATTTTTTCGGTATGAAGAAAACCCTCCAAAAATACTATTCGACACATTTAATAGTCCGATGAGTGAAACATATATGTGGTTTTTACATGCACAACTCGTTATTTTTAACAGGAATATTTTATTGATTGAAAAATCTAAGACTAGTATAATTGAACTAAGAAAAATATTGAACACCATTTTAGATGACTTAAAAAATAGACAAATTAATAAATTTGTTGGTTTAAAAGTTCTAGAAATGTTGAGAAAAGAAAAAATATCTGATCAAGTAAAACATACATTTTATGTTGAAGTTGATGAGTTTTACAATACAGCAATTACATATTTAACCAAATGGTCGGTCTCAACAAATCACTTCTAAGTTTTTGACTGGATGTCTTTATTGGAGCCGATAGCATGGCATCATGTAGAAGCACAGATATATTATATATATATGTTATTATATATATCTGTGTGTAGAAGAAACAATAATTTATTTATCCGATAAAAACATAAAGTTAGACGATTCTTTATTGTTTGATCAGCTCACATACTTAAAAAAAAAAAATCGAAGAATTCAAAAACAGTATATCAGATTGGGATAGTAAAATTGCTACTGAAAAATGGCAATATTTTTTTAGTGTGTCAATACACGATGAACAACATTCAGAACTTTTAAAAATTGCTCAATATGTTTTTGCAATACCAGCGCACAATGCTTATGTCAAAAATGTATTTTCTTTAATGAAATCGTCTTCACCTTGATACAGTGGAATAGTTACTATTTTTCTGTCTGTCTGTCTGGTTTTGTTTGATGAAAATATGGCATCCCTAGTGTAACACGGTGTTATAAATAAATTATGATCAAATTATCACCACTGAAACAGTCAACTTACATTTTTCCTATTGTGGCCTTGGTGATTTTTTTTTTTGGTTTATTTGGCTTATTGGAATGCGGAACTGCCGGAATTCGTTTATAGTTTATACTTTATTATTGTAAGTTGTTTGTGAAATAAACGTCCTTTTATTATTAATATAATAGTACCTACATTGTTTATCGAAACGTTCTTCGACAACAACCGTTGTCGTTCCCAGTAACCTGACACCGAGACGCTAACATTATGAATATGGTTTAACAAATTACATTCTTAAGAACATTTCTATACCGTTATCGTTATTTTTTAAAAAAGTGTTTAATAACTGGCTATTTTCCTACAGCGTTTAAAAAAAATGTATTGTAATCCCATTATTTAATTCAGGTAATAAATTAGCATGTGGAATTACTATAGACCTATCTCACTATTATTAACTTTATAAACATTTTTCGAAAAATTTATCAAAAATCGTTTATTTAATTATTTGACAAATACGTCATTTTTTTAAGATTCACAGTTTGGTTTTTTAGCTGGTTTGTTAACAACTGATGCGATTTTTAAGCTAGATATTTTTGTTAGTACATATATTAATGTTAACCATGAATCATTGCTAAAAAGAAATAGTTTTCAGGTATTCGTGGTATTCGGTTAGTTGATAATAACCTATTAAAATCTTTCTTAAGTAAAAGAACTCAAATAGTTAAAGTAAGCAATTATTATAGTAAGGCTAGAAGTATAGATTGTGGAGTTCCACAAGGAACAATATTAGGCCCTCTACTCTCTTATCTTCTTTATAAATGATTTATTGAATATAAATATAAATAGTTATATAGAAATAATAAGTTTTGCTGATGATACGACTGTATTAAAATCTGAACCAATAGTTGATAGCTTGTACCATGAAGCAAATTAAATTTTAAATTTGTTTTTATTCATCTGTTAATAATTTTAGACTGTCCATTCTCTAAAATGTAATCCTAGTTTAAATACCAAACGTCACCCAAAATGGGTAAAACTTGAAAAAAATAATGAATATCTTGGCTTAATAATAGATTTAGACTCATACTCTGTTCGCCCAGAGAAAACGCAGCGGCCCGAAGAAAATCGGTTCGTTTTGAGCATCCCCTCGCTTCACCCACCCATAACTGACGGTGGCAGGACTCGACTGCCGAAAGGAGTCGCTAGCATCGGCGTCGGTCACCAATTGTCGTCTCGACGACCGTGCATTCTGTAGCGGGATATAGAGCCTTGGCAGTTGGCGAGCGAGAACGGTCGGCTTGTCAGTCTGCGATAGGGTAGTTTTGTAAATTATATTAATGGTATTTTACGAAAATTGTTTCATATATTTAATGAAGCCAGGTATATATTAGATGTAAATTATAAAAGAATTAGGTGCTTATTTAGCGTTAGAGCAATCTTTTTTTCCCATGGGGAGGAACTTTTAATAACATTATCTTTAAGCTTAATGTTACAATAATTTACAACAAATGATGTTATAAAATATGTGTGAAGCCTACATTAGCAATAATCGACTATCTGTAAAGGTGTAGGTAATTTTATTATTGCCTTCAATAGTTTTTGTGTATCATTTAATCTTCAAATAATAAAAAAAAAATGGTAGTACCGTTTTATAATAATATAAATATACCTAACTAACACAAAACTCTGTAATTACTAAACAGTAAATGTTGAGCGTGTTATCATAAATATAGTATACAAAACAATAATAAATTCATGGCGAAATATATTATATTTACAACAGTCTCATAATATAATAAATAATAATACATAATATTTAGACAGCAGTCTCATATAATGATACATAGTTTCACAGTAGTCTTTTTATAATGATATATAATTTTTAGACGGCAGTCTCATACGATAATACAATTTTTTTTAGACATCAGTCCCAGATTAATACATAATTTCCAATGAACTATTATAAATGATAATAATATAACCATATAGGGCCCGTCATCCGGAATAAACATAATTAATTGGTAGACTCATCGGATAGTTGGACTGCACATTTAGTTTTACACTCACGACGCTACCGTACCAGGGTCCGTAATAGTATAATGAATTTAATACGAAATGAAACAAGTTGACCCTGCATATGCACCAATACGTATTGACAACGAAGATTTCACAAATAAATCAAAATACTGATTGCAGCCGGGACAGGAACACGAGGTGTTGGACACTACTGTCCCCAAGGTACAAGGCTGATTCACAAAAACCATATAACTGGTAGTTTTGGCGGCACGGTGCGTGTAGTACGTGTGCGGAAAACGGCGTGCACCAACGGGCGCAAACGCGGGAGCGAAACACATCGGACGGACGGGTGAACGAGTACATAATAATATAACAACTTTAAGGGGTGGCGGTAGGTTACTCTATTTCTACGAAGGTTTGACAGAAACAAACCCTTCGTGCCACGTTTACCAACGACTTCCAAACGAACCGAGGTCCTCTTCCAGGCAGACCCCCGCGGACCAACAGACCGTGCTGCCGGGTATTCCGGAAATTCCGCAGGTACCGGCGGGACAGTCTTCACGCTGCCGTACACCGGTGATTCGCAATTCGGGAGACGACCGGAAATGTTCGCTCCGCTGAATCAGTAGCTTCTGCAGGACAGCCGCGGTGGTCATCCTATGATCGACGGCTAGGTCTAGAGCGTCAATCAACGAGGTTTCCCTGTGTGCGTCCGTATTCGATTTCACGTTAAAAGGTGCATCAGGCTCTAACGATCATAGCAAATAATCTAGATTTAATTTTAATCTCTCGTTCTTTGGAGTGTAGTCCCACAACAAACCAGCTGGACGGGACTTCGTTGTTTTCTATTCTTGTGATTATGTCGTGAATGCTAAATTCTTCTCGGCCTATTATCTCTATCAACGTTCGGCGACTTTCTTTGATGTCTTTAGGCTTCTCCACGTTCAAGCAATCTTTGTGGTATACGCTAGCATAATTATCGCGATAAGGTGAAATTGCTGTATCAGAGAGTAACTCGGTAAAATCTGAAAACTCATCAAAAATGAGCTCTTTAGCGAAGTCAATGTAGTGCCAACATCCGATAGGTATGTTCAATTCATAATCGTTAATGGAAGTTGGCTTTTTCAATAGTAGTTTACGGAACTTTACTAGTTTATGTTCTGACAGGAAGTTAACAATCTTTTCGTTTATGACACACTTTGGCCACCTGTTATTGCGGGCTAAGAAGCTTAGAATGAACCTCCTGTTAAATGCACCGCTGACATCTCTTGTTATGTCATAATCAATATCAATCTTCTTCCTTGTATTTGATAATAGATCTTTGACGCCATCCTCTTCATTAACGATGGGGTGACCAAAGTGTCGATAACAACCGAAAATTTCTATCATCTAGTTCGGGAGCTGACAATCACTCATTAATAAGTCCCTTAGATTGATGAGCTCTTGTTGATCTTTTTCTTCCTCAAACGACATAATCACTTCGTTCAGATATAACGGACCTGATCCTAATGTGTCGAATTTAGTGATTATGGAACCAGTACATACAGCCTCGAAACATTTGATTATCTTATAACCCTCATTACCTCTAGCTTTCAGAATACTGTCACCCCACCTATATACCGCAGACAGTGTATGAAAGGATGGCATGTGATTAAATCCTAAGTATTCATAGATCTCTAATGTCAATAAGGACAAGTATCTTGAAGAACAAGTATCACAAACCATCATCACTTGATCGTATCCCATTACATATAATATATTGTCTTTGACGTACAGTAAATAATTCCCATTATCGTAAAATCTTCCATAGGACTCATCTGCGATCCTTTTGAAGGAATAGCTGACTTCCTTAGATTCTTGCTTCCATTTCATCACATCCCTCACATATAGACAGAAAGTACGAGCCAAGTGCCATTGCCGGATCCTTATACTAGGTAAGTATCGTTGCACTTTATCGTGATACTCTTGTATCATAGGATCATCTGGCCCATTGCACTTTAGCATCTTAATTAGCTTAGATGTTAGCAGCTTAGGGGTACCAAATAGCTTGCTATACATCTCACCTCTTTCCTGCAGTACTCCGGTCGGGTTGTCTGGTGGATTGAGGAAATAATCATAATGATAAGCAGCTTCGATAGAGATGGTGGTTATATTTATTTTCTTCATGAGGGACAAGAGTTGTTTTGCGCAGTAGAATACCTTCTCTGGACAAGCAACCCTTTGTCCTTCAATCAATTTCGATATCATAATAAGGTCATGATTCGTTATTGCTGATTTTAAGTGGATATCACACCTGAATAGGTTTTGTGATGCAAACACCTGATCATCTTCTATATCATCATCATTTTCAATCATCTTTCACAGCGTGTCACTATAAAAGAGTGCTGCTATGTAGCGATAGACTTGAAGAATTTTACACGAAGCAAATAGGGATATTAGCGGTGGTGTAATAAACAAATAAGATCAAACTTTGTTGGTGTTTGTATAGAATATATGATCAATCTATACTAGTATTAAGTCTATATAGAATTGCTATTAGACATAAGCGGATACTATATAATCTATAACTCGCTTACTACAATGCCATATGGGTTCTTTTTTTACATCCATCTAATTTACAGAATGTGGCATCTCTCAAGTTATCTATGTATACAATGGAAAATGTTATCTTTTCTTATCACATCAGTAGGGTATCTATCAATTAAACGATTTTTTGTGCGCGGTTTAGATTGAACTATAATTTTGTTAGATGACGACAGGTGCCCTTGTTTTCTGGAAGGTGTTACTACAGAACTCCCTATAGAAATTAATGTTGAAGCTAAATTTTGCTTAAAGCCTAATAAGTCCATTACTTTTTTTTTTGGAAAGTTTATTGCTTTTGCATCATTTCTATATTCTAACCATGAATTGCAAGTGGTGGCCATATCAAAGGAATGAAAGAGCATACGCAGTCCATATTCTAGATTTTATAAATACTCTGTAGTAGCTAATGAGTTGGTCGTGCAAATTCACCCCACCCATCGAATCATTATACAATTTAAAATATACTAAAATTAACTTAATTTAGATACTTTTAAATAAAATTAACTTAAATTTTACACGTTAATCTTAAAAAAAGATTACGATGCCCCATATTACGATGCCATACGTCCAGATTGGTTTAAGAAGAATTTTATATAGGATTATTTTGATCATCAAGGGATGACGGTTGCTATGTGATGGCCAATAAGTTGGAGAGAGGGACGCTATTACCTTAAGATGATTGAGCGAGATGGAATTTTGTAGGGTCCGGCCTCTGGTGTTTGTTGACCGACTTCAAGTTTGATATTTAGCATTGAAGGCAGCGCCAATAATATGGGTAAAGCTTATACATGTAAAATTAAAAAGTGATAATCTGCAAAATGTTTTAAATCAATCTCACAAATTTACTAACTTGTTTGAAAGTTTTAATCGACACAATTTCTGCTAACCAAAACGTAAACCAATTCAATTAATAATTATCATGTACCTATTAGTTTGAAGAATGTATTTTTCCTTTAATTATTAATAAAATGGTTTAACGGACTTAGCAAGATCTAATAATACTGTTTGCTATCTTTGTTGCCGACATGATAATTATAATTATGGTATTGTCATTGAATCTAAAACTGAAATTCGTCATGAATTTAATAAATTCTTTGTGGAAGTAAGAAAAAATTTAGAAATAGACTAAACGCACTCTGATTTCGTCAATTTGAATGATAAAAGTAAGAGTAATGATAGTATTTTTCTTAATCCAATTAGTAGTAAATGTGTTTATTGATAAGATTAAAAATTAAAATTATTTTTATTGATAGCGGGTGGCCACACTGATAGCCACCGCTGCCGGTTCTACAGGCCACGGCCCAGACTCGGTACTCCTGCCTCCTCCTGTTTTATCGCGACCGGGTTGCCAGATTGGGCGGTTTAAAGCCAAATGGGCTTTATAAGAAGGTTCAATGGCGAGAAAAATTGAGTAGTTGGTGGCTATCAAATATTGGGCGGCTTCGGGTCCAGGCTGCCCCTGAAAATTGGGCTACCCGGTATTTTCCAAAAAACCAAACATTTTCATTTCAATCTTTAAATATTTTTTATAAAAAGAAAAAAAATTGATTTTAATTTTGATATCTATTATTCTATATGTGATAAACTATTGTGTTTGCTGATTACCACGGTTCGATTTTCTGTGGTTTTGGTCTATGAGTGATACTGTCATTAATTGATAATTATGTTTGGTGTTTCAAGCAGTGTTGATTAAGTTAATAATCAATTTATCAATCGACCTTATTATCAATTAACTAATAATAAATTATCATAATAATTTAAAATTATAGCCCATGATAGATTGCAATATTGTATAATACCACGGTCCATGAACTAAGCTATGTATTAGGTATTAGTTAATAACTTATTAGCCATTAGGTAATATTCTGTATATTTTATTTATTTGTTTATTGTGTAATTTGAATTTTTTAAAATATGGAAAGTATAAAAGAACTTATGTCCGAGAATGGGAAAGCAAACCAGAATTTAAAGGTACCTACTACCTTCTCACTTTAATTTTTCAGGTGTTTTGTTATTTATATTAAAAATGTTGAGTTTATTACAAGGATGGCTAAGAAAATGAACTGATAAACAATCTAATGATAATGATTTGAAAGAAGCGTATTGTTCAATATGTGAGTTTGTATTAAGGGCTCATCGCGGAGACTTAATACAACATGCAAAAACGACAAAGCATATTACCAATAAAAATAGTTTTCTCCAACCAAAATTAAATTAATTTGGTAAGATGATTTAAACACAAATATTTACAAATTTTAAAACAAATGTCTGGTATGTTTATAGGTATACACAGTGATTCATTTGAATAAAAAAAAAAATGATATTAAACTAAGTGTACACATAGCTGCTCATTCTGCAATAAACAGTATTCATCATTTGGGGGAAATCCTCAATACAGCAGGGAAAGGATACATTTTTGAGAAAACCCGTTTACACAGAATTAAATGTTCAAAAATAATTTTTAATGTAGTATCTAATACTCTACTAAAAGATATTGTTGAAGACATAGGTGAAAACCGATACTCATTAATAGTCGATGAATCTACTGATGTATCAATAACAAAATACATGGCATACTGTGTAAGATATTACAGTAAAAGTTTAAAAAGTATAACAACTGAATTTCTTGGAATTGTGATGATTGAACGTGCAACAGCAATTGATCTTCGTAATGGTACACTTGAGTTCCTGAAGACAATCAAACTGAAACCAGAAAGAATTATAGGTCTAGGAGTGGATGGAGTAAGTTATCTTTGTGGTCGTAATAATTTGTTATATACTTTACTAAAAGAAATTTCCCCCAAATTACAACTTATTAAATGTATCTGCCATTCATTAAATTCATGTTCGTCTAAGGCAGCAGAAATCCTTCCTGCTCATATTGAATATATGTTGAGGGAGTCAGTGTCATGGTTCTCACATAGTACACTAAGAAAAATAGAATATAGTAGATTATATCAAATAATTAATGGTGACGGATCAACACAAAAGCAATTGGTAAAATTATGTGCCACACGATGGTTGGCATTTTATAACTGCATAAAAGTTGTCGTTGATCAGTGGTTAGAATTGCAAACATGTTTTAAATTTGCCTCAATATCAAAAAAAGAAAAATGTCATACTGCCCGGACACTAGCTGAAATGTATAACGATGAGAATTTATTATATTTTGTATTCCTGAAACCTATACTAAGAGAAATTACAAATGTAAATCTACAATTCCAAGCTAATAATGCAGATCATACTAAAACTTATGGAGAATTAAAAATGTTATTATTATCAATGGCTAAACGAATTATAAACCAATTTGTTTACGGGATGATGAGTGTCCAGGTGTCTTATGTACAGAGGATGTAATGAGAGTACACAAAGCGTTAGAAAATCCTCTAGCTTTTCTACCTTTAGAAGCCATTGACATTATGGACAGTCCATTATGGACACTCATTTGAAACATTGGCACAAAAAAATACTATAAAATACTATATCAAAGAACGGTGTTTATACTATATGACTAGTCTGTGTCGTGAATTGGTAAAACGACTACCAAGCAATACTTTAATAATTGAAAAACTTAAGTATTTCAGTCCACTTGTAGTTCTTTTTTCAGTTCCACCCAAGTTTTCTGATTTGCCAATATTGAAACGTTGGAGATACAATGGAGCAAGTTAATTACATTAAAGTACAATGATATATGTTCTCCAAATATTACAATAGAAGAAAAAGATACGTTTCAATTTTTCGTTGATGTCCTGATTATAACCAATAATAATAAAGAACAAATATTTTATGAACTTGCTATGTTTGTTTTAAGTATGCTGTCTCTACCTTTGTCGAATGCCGTAGTAGAAAGAGTTTTTAGTGTGATGAACGCAGTGAAGTCTAAAGCAAGAAACCGCATGCATATGGCTATGCTTGAAGCTATTATGCGAATCAGACTTCATTTAAACGTAGGTTTAATTACATTTTACCCTGTACATTCTGTATATGCTTTGATTGACTGAGACCGATTCTGATGACCCACTCAACACATTAAATGAGGTGTTGCAAGATTTAACAAATGTGGAAAATGGACAGGATCAATAATTAATATAGAATTAGTAAGTTAGTTATTTATATAAAAATAAAGTCGTTTTTTTATAGAATTAGTAAGTTAGTTATTTATATAAAAATAAAGTTCCTTATTACTAGTGAGTAATGTTATAATCTATTTATATAAAAATGGAGACAAAAAATTGGAAATTGCATCAGTTGAGAACGGCTGGGCCGATTTTGCTCAAATTTTTTTTAAGATGTTCGTAATTGCCAGGTGAAGGTTTTTACGAAAGAAAATTTTTAAAAAGTCAACCGAATAATTAGAAAAACTGCAAAAACTATTTATTGATGTCTGGGATTTGAACTCGATACCGTTGTCTTTATTTACTCCATGGTGTATTATATTATATTGGTTGCTATTGGTTAATCGGGCATGTTTGTTGATTTGTATTATTATTATTATAACTAGGTAGGTTTGGTACGGTTGAAACGGTAGGTTAGCAGTAGTATATGTGGCAAGGTTTTTTCCACTACGAACCCGGGAGGTCACCCATCCGGGAACTAGTGGCAGCAGATTTTACTTACTCTAAATCACATTTCGTGATTTATTGCAACCACCATGCCACGCCAAGCCACCCAATCTAATTTGTAACAGACCATATGCACAATTAAAGGGGATTTAGGATATAATACTCACATATCACTTCAGAGCCCGTTAAAAATTGTTGACATGAAAATATACATATTTTAGTTAGAAAATTAAGAAACCCAAGTATATATAAATATATATATATTATCTTATATATAAATGAATGACGGTGTGTAGATTAAACCTATGGGGAGAATATACGCTAATTTAAAAAGGGTTAAATTTGGTTTTTTTTATTCATCGGATTTTAGTACGGTTAGGTTAGGTTAGGATTTATAGGTAGGTGGAATTAAGTAAAAACGTCAAACTTGGTATAACTTTGGTATTTTTTGAGTTAAATCATACACTTACATACAAACAGCACGGGGTCCGCGATCTACCGCAGGTAAATTACCTATCTGATAATGTACTGCTGCAATTCAGAATTTTTATTCCGGGCAACAGAAAAGTTAAGATAAATCTAGAACATCATACACCGAATATTAAATAACGCATTGAACAATGTTTGAGTCATATAGAGTTGGTACATTTAACGGGAAACGAAGTGCACGAGATCAGCTAGTAATTATATATAGTTAAAAAATAAAGATTTTAAAGTTATTTTTTGTTCTTATATTATTTGCTAATGGATTCAAAACTATATTATAATTTGTTTGTTAT